ATCACTTGAGCCCAAGAGTTTGAGGTTGCTGTGAGCTATGACACCATGGCACTCTACCAAGAGTGACATAGTGAGTCTCAAAAAAAAAAAAAAAAAGCCTCCTTTGGATATGGGTGGCTAGAAAGGAAAAATATCCAAGTTCTCTGTGGTAGTCAATGTGTGCAAACTATTGCCTTATGCTCAGGTAGCCAAAACCATGCACCAGGGAGCCAAACTTTTTCTTTTGGAGGGAAACCCCTGCCCTATGTACCCCTCCAGGTGCCTGAGTATAGTAAAAGGCAGAGGCAAGACCCCCCTAGCCCTTGGTCAGTAGGAGCACGCTCGATTTCTGGGAAGCTCAGGAGGTCTCAGTGCTTCTGAACATCTCGGGGGGCTAGTGCTGGTGAGGGCTAACTGAGACACTGAAACACCAAGCTTCCGCCACCACCGGCTGATGCAAGTTTTATTGACACAATGTACAAACAGGCCATGGAAACAAGGGTTTTGCTGCTGGGACCAGTAACGTAAAATGGAATACAAAAATAAAAAGGCACTAATCTGTTAAGAAAAGACACTCAATGTATTCTAAGAATATAAGTCATTTAATACTGTTAATTTTATAGCACAAAATAAAACAAGCTATGATCCCCAAAAATAATTTTAAAAGCTTACACAGAAAATATTATTGCCTGAAGTTTATGATCTTTAAGTTACAGGTCAAAAAAGTTTTACGTTGTTGTTGTAAAACACACAGTGAAGACCGTCTAAGAAGCAAGGCCACTGTTCCTCCTGTAGGGACAACGATCCTGTCTCAGAGAACTGTCCTACTCTGTTAGGATATACAACCAGCTCAGTGTCCATACTGACAGTAGCTACCAGGGATACAGATCTCCGGTCCCAGTGGGTGGAGCTGAGGCAGAGCTCAGTGGTGTCCACAGAAATCATTAGTTTTAGGTGCTGTGTTAAAACAATCAAGAATTCATTCATTTTAAGAGGTTAATGACCATAATATTAAAGGATTAAATTATAAACACCTGACACAAAACCTCATCATCCCTTTTCAAAATAAAATGTTCATATTCCTCTGAGCAAACATTACAAGAGCAGTGGCTGTGCATCTCAGGCCTGCCTTGTCTGTAAACAGCTGTGAAAGAAAGCCAGCACGGTGCCAAGCAATCGTGAGCTACATGCAGGGCACAGCTGTCCTTTCCCCATTTCAGTTTTCCAACCATGAGCACAGAAGGTATTTAGTGTGGGTGACCAAAGTTGTCAAATGGCAGCTGGTCAACAAATCTTCTTCTTCGTCAACCATGGCATCAGGTAGCTCCACACAGCACAGACTTGACAAGGAGGACTTCTGTATTGGAGGTCCTTCCCAGGATAAACAAATTTTTAATAAAATGGTCAATACCCCCCAGAATGTAATTGGTTTCTTTTCCAGGTGAAAAACCATACTAAGTTAATTTAACATCCAAATATTTTCTTAAACAACACAATAGAGCAGAGTAGCAGTAATGAACAATTACCAAAGAAAACCCACCCTGTGGGTCAGATGTGCATTACTCTATGAAGCACAAATGTCTTCTCAGACCAGTGGAGAACCCAGGCATGAAGCTCCAGCAGGGGTGTACTTTCGTAAACTTAGTGTGGAAAAGAGGATTTCCCTGCCTAATTAAAAAACTGGTAAGGTTTTAAGTTAAAAAGTTATTACTTTTTTTTTTGCAGTTCTTGGCCGGGGCCGGGTTTGAAACCACCACCGGCCGGCGCTCTACTCCTTTGAGCCACAGGTGCTGCCCCCAAAAGTGATTACTTTTGGCACACATCTTGGGAGTTCAGAACCTGAGGCTTACCTTATTTTGAGCTCTGAATCTTCTGGGCTGAAATCATGATTCATTATAAAACCAAACCCTAGGTTCATAGGTTTTTTGATTCTGAAAGGCTCTAAACAATGTGGGTCTTGCTATTGGTCAGTAGACATGGCTAAAGTATGATATGATTTCCAAAATGGCAACATACTTCTTTACGTTCTGAGCCAACTGCTATAATCAAAAGGGGTCAAGCCCTTCAGCTAAATCTGGCTGTAAAAGTCTGTAAGAATGTATGCCTTTGAACAAGGTACACATTCCACCTTCTGCTGGACATTCCACTTGGGTGCCAACAAGGGTAGGCTAAACCAGGTCACTGGTGGAATGGCAAGGGCTGTCTCAAGGGAGAGTTTGAGACTCTGTCACACCCTTGTACCCCCACCACTTACGGATACTAAGGTGGGCCTGAACTCAGTGCATGCCTACCACACAGACCCATCCAGAAGGCGGCTACAATTTTCACTGGTTAGGAAGAGCTGATCTCCAAGCCTTTTTGAGGAAAATTACAGAAAGGCCGTCATGTGTTATTTTTTCAACAGACCGTTATTTTTGTCACAGGAACACTCTCAAGATTCTTTAATATGGCAGTTATCTGTCTGATGGAATACTGATTAAAGAGAATTGAAAAATGGTTGTGTTCCTGGCTTTGCCATCAATATATATTGCTCTAAACCTCAAAACCTAAGAACCTCCAGAGACAGGGCCATAGTCATAGCAGATTATCAGTAAATGACCTCATGAGAAAGTTGCTACATTTCTAGGTCTGCAGTATTTATGAGCTGAGGCTTGTCTTTACCAGGGTCCAGAAGGGAGAACAGTCTAAACTGCAGAAAGGGTCTAGAATTCTTTTTTTTTTGAGACAGAGTTTTATTTTGTCACCCTCATTAGAGTGCTATGATATCATAGCTCATAGCAACCTCAAACTCCTGGGCTCAAGCAATTCTCTTGTCTCAACCTCCCAAGTAGCTGGGACTATAGGTGCCCACCACAATGCCTAGCTATTTTTAGAGATGGGGTTTTGCTCTGGCTCAGGCTAGTCTCAAACCTGTAAGCTTAGGCGATTCAGCTTAGGCTGGTCTCAAACCTGTAGCCTCGGCCTCCCAAGTGCTGGGATTATAAGCGTGAGCCACTGTACCCAGCAAGAGTCCAGAATTCTAATTTGCTACGTGCAGATGACAGATCAGTCACACATTTGTACCAGATGGCTTGTAAAAACTCTTTTAGCTAACAGGGAAATATTTTAACATCAGCAAACTGATAAAGAGTTAATAGTAAATTGATTAATGGCTCTCCCTAGGCCCTAAAACACTAGACATCGAATATATTAACCAATTTCCAGAGCTTGCACTTCCTTTGCTTGGGAGCATCAGATGCTTAGATAGTGGAACCAGTATTAGCAGCACCATTTTCTCTGGCAGCGTGGTGAAGGTGGGCCAGGGCAGAGAGGACTGGGCTTCAGTGAATGACATTTAATGATTCATTAATGAATGCAAGGATCCTAGAACAACCACACTTTAAAAAAAATTTAACACCTAACCCTAAAATGGTGCATTCATTGAAAAGCTGGACAAGTAATCAGCCCAGTGCTCCCCCCCTGACCCTGCCCACTGTTCTTAGCACTGACAAACAAGGTGAGCAAAGATTTCCCCAAAGCACCCTCTTCCCAGGCTTTTGGGGCCAAAGTAATCCAAGAAGTTGTGCACATAGCTTGGCACTCCACAACTGCTTATTGTTTGCTGTCTGGTGAAACAAGGTACTATTGGCAACCAAGACAATAAAGGCCTCTGCTTCAGGGTTGTTCTTTTCATATTTCTTTAGTTATGGCAGCTTCAGTTTAAAGCTCAGAGGCACATGTCATTCCTTGGACTATCACAAAAATCCAACCTGCTACTTAAAAATCTGTTCAGAACACACAAGTCTAATTAATCTTCTAAAATCAAACCAAAACAAAGAAAACAAAGGTCAGATGTGAGGGGTTCAGGACAAAATTTTGCCTTTCTTAAGGTTCATTTCCTCTTGTCCAAAGAAAAGAAAGATGGCAGCTGAGCCACTGCTTTATGGAACAGCAACACACAGTATCTCCCCGTAATCTCAAGCATTCTCTGACCAACATGACAGAATCAGTCCTGGCTGCAAACCAGGCAGTGATGAGAAGGAAAATCCTTTCCTCATCAACTTCTCTCCACCTGTGTGCTTCCACCAGTACTTCCAGTTTATGATCCAAAGGAACTCTAAAAATCGGCTACTCTTTGACAATACAACTATGATACAAATGCCAGGAGGCAGCCGCTGTGTGCATTCCAAATGTGTATGAGAGACCGCCAGTCTGCAGAAAGCTGGAGGTCGGCAATGCAGTGTGACCCGCCTACAAGAGACAAGAGAGAATGCGTTCCCACTTCAAAGGAGACTACTACAGGCAGAACAACGAAGCAGCAGGAAATAGGACAGCAGCAATCACTCGTTTTCATCTGGGTTTTGAGGGTCAAAGATTTTGACATGTGTAAAAGGGAAAAGCCCTTTGCGCCCATTCACTTCGCCTTCCCACTGGCCATTTATATTCATCCTTGTGACTTTCACAATGTCACCAACCTGTAGGGAAGAAGAAAGAAGACAAAGTTAGTATTTCTCTGAGGCAAGAAAAAGAGAGTTTCTATTAAACCACAAACATATATCCAAAGGAACCTATTTTTTTATTTTTTTTTTGAGACAGAGCCTCAAGCTGTCCCCCTGGGTAGAGTGCCGTGGCATTATAGCTCACAGCAACCTCTAACTCCTGGGCTCAAGCGAGTCTCCTGCCTCCGCCTCCCAAGTAGCTGGGACCACA